GTAAGAAAGAAGATATTTTTAACATAATTATTTAACTGTATTATTTATGCTTACTTTTCTCCTTTTAACTTAAAAAAATTTTTTTATGATATTTAAAATGAAACGTTGAACGCATATTGCTTTGTTGAACTATCCTTATTGATGCAAGATCTATCCCACAGCAATTCTGCATATTTTGCCGACATTTCCTGTAACACAAATCTCAAAATTAACCTAAATGTTTGCAGTTAATAATCATAAATATAAATTTAATGCACTACAACATTATCATTTATTCTCTGATTTCAGTTCAGTTTTATTTTATGATTTCAATGTTGTGTCATTTTTAAATATTTTTACCCAACTAAAATATCATTACATCTTGATGGTTGTATGATCGAAATAACCTACTACGGCTATTGTTTTGGAAAAACAATTTGCTGATGCATCTTTAATAAGTTGGTGAGTAGAAATTACAATCAGAAGATTATTCTAATTTAAAATATTTAGAATTAAGGAAAAAAGATATTTCTATAAATGAACAGAAATTCTAAACCAACTCAGTATATATATATATGCCCTGTTAACAAATATTTTACGAAATTCTTAAAATGATTTAAATGATTTACCTATTTCTTAAAGAATTACAATTAACTTATTAAATATAAGGTTATATACAATCAACTCTCTTTATAACGAAACATTTTATAAATTTTATAAATAACACTTGATCTAACAAACTTTAAAATTTTAATTTTTTATTAATTCATTATAAAATAGAAGAGTTCTTATAAAAGTACTTTTTTTTTAGTTTCTAATTTTTATATTTTTGTTTTGTCGACATAGTATCAGATCATGTGATTCTCGATATCTTATTAAAATATTATTTTAATAAAAAAGAATAAAAACCAAAGATATTTTTAAAGATATTTCTTGTTGGTTCAATGCAAATAAGCATGCCGATTTCTTAACAAACTTTACATGGCGCAGCACAACATAGTATTGGTTTTTTTTATTAATCCAACTATATTGCGCAAAAAAATTTGAGAAACAAAACATGGAGGTTAATTATTATAATGTTCATGTCATTTAAATAAATCTCCCATATATTCATATATCTATTTTCATGATCATTGCTTTAATTAAATATAGAAAGGGATGAATTTATTTCATTCAATTAAAAAATAAAAGTTTGTCGACTTGAGGACATTTGATCATTAATTGTATATTATTTTTTTTTTTATAAAATAAAATAAAAAGTATAAAAAATAAAATAAGGAAAAAAGGGAAGAAAATGTTCAATATAATTAATCAATCTCTATTAGACTTCAATCGTAAATGCTATTGTTTTGAATTATAAAAACCAATAAACTCCATCTTCTCAAAATTTTAAGGAACTCCATTATCTTAATATTAATCAATTGAATAAATTGTGGCGCACCTTCAAAAGGTGTTATAGCCCGAACGCGATTATCTCAAGTTAATCCCACGGACTTTCCAAAATGATATTTTCGATTATGTATTCAATGCCTGAGTTCAATATCAACCATGACAATATTAGGATTTCATCCCTCATTCTGAATCTTACAATACATTTTCCATTACTAGATGTCACATAAAAGTGTAAAATCAGAAATTATTATAATTTGCTTGTATCATGTGACTTTATAATTTATTAAATTTTCACCCAACCCTCAGAAGTTCTCGGTGTAAAGACTTATCTATTATTTGTTATTAATTAGGGTTAGAGTCGGGGTGTGTTTAGGGTCAATATTTAGGGTATCTTTTTTTTTGTAGGCGACGTTAGGGTCACAGGTTTAGTGTGTCAAATATTCAAACCTGATCATTTGGGATATCCAAGATTTGGATACCAAATCGATTCCGATTTTGGAAGTCCGAAACAGATATTCCGATAGGGTTGCATTAAAAAGATTTATCACATCGAATATAAATTAATGAATTTTATTTAGAATTAAATTACAGTTCTAGGATCTTAGATAAATTTTAGAAAGATGCCATCACGATGTCGCATAGCTCCAGCGATGGTATCAAGCCAACCAATAAAAAATTAAGATGTAGCATCATTGATAAGTTATATAATTACAAAATATAAAATAGAATACATGATATTAGGATATTATTATAGTATGTCGCATATTACGATATCTTGTAGAAGTCGTCTAGGAATCTTAATTTAAATGAAGGAAAAGAGGACGATTTCTAATTAAATGTTACGATGAAACTCGTAAATTAATCCAAACATCTTTATGAAAAAAGGTTCTTCTCCCCCTTTCCAGCGTTAATCCTTTAATACAATGAATAAATAATAATTAGCATCCTCTTTATCTTTTTCACATTCCAAAGTATCAGCAGCTTTAATATCACCAGAAAATAAATATTTTACAATTTTACCAATTAAATAATGTTGAATAAAATAAATATTACATTGATTCAATTGCGCATGTTTCTTTTTAAATTTTCTACAATATTTCAGGAAGGAATTTAAATTTATAGATGGAGACTCCGTTGGATATAATTTCACGCCGTTAAAAAAATCTTCATATAATTGACTAGTTTTTTGTTTATTTAAACAGACCGTATATAAATGTGGATTTTTCTCACAAGCATGCTGATAATCATATTGATGCTTCAGATCTTGAAATGAAGATACTGCGATGACAAAATCTAAATATTTCTCCATCAAAGCACATCTTGTTTCGCTTGAAAGCTTTTTGAACGTTAATTCCTCTTTGTATTGCAATAAATTATCCAAAATTAATTTTGATGATTCTTTATAGACATATTTGAAGCCATAACTGTCAGCCAACACCAATGAAACGAGTGGTTTTTCTTGAAAATGAGCTTTTAAAAAATTATCGGCCGCTTCAATAACCATAACGAATTCATATTTATCAGCTAATTGACAAAATTCTATAATGTTTTCCCATGTAATAGGTGTAAATGTGTGTGGGTATAAATACGATAATAAGTTTTCAAACGTTGTTGATGACGTATCGGTTAAAGTTATACTTGGTATGTCTTCTTTGGAGGATATAGCGCAAGTGAACATATCACAAAATACTTTTGAGGCTATGGATAAAATGTTTTTATGTATTCTAAATGTCACATCTTGCACCGTTACTAGAATATCACCATCATCATAATAATGCACCGAACTATTCGAATTGTTTTCCGTCATTTTTGTAAATGTAGAAAAGGAGAGGGCAAAAAAATTTTTTTTTCTAAACGACAATAACTTATAGCATGAGATCTGCATGGAAATTATTAATTTGGTGGCGCAGTTTCTCTATATTGGGCAATACACGATATTTTCGTTTCAAAAAAAGGGAAGGCGGATTGTTTCCTATGTAATAAGCTTTAATTAATCTATTCATTTAGGCATGTAACACTTTAAAAAAAAATATTACATAGAAATAAATTAACACATGGTCTAATAAATCATTTCTACAACGTTTGAAATGTACATTGTATCACGTGATCACTTCACATAGTCATAAGTAAATCTCGGATCCATGTGAAATAATTTATTTGCGCTAGCTGTTAATGTAAAAATTTCCCGATCTTTTTCTATATTTTCTGGCACGGGTTCAATGGATTTTCCAGTCTTTTTTTTTTTTTTTTATTTTCTTATTTTTATGGATAAAGCAGGGTTTAATTAGTCATAACATGTAACATGTCTGAATTTCATGGATTTTTTCTTTGAATAATATATTCAAAATACTTGAAAAAATAAAAGTATATCAGTCGTCCCTATTTGTTGATTATTATAATCGTGATTTTTAATAACTTTATTAGTAACTTCGGCCTAACATAAATTTACTTATAAAAGGGTTTAATTCGTTAGGTTAAAATTCTACATTATAAATAATTTTATTAGAAACCTTAATCTTGTTTCTACTTGGAGTTACGACTCCTTCTGCTAAATTCATATCTTTTAAAAATTTACTAGTGAAATTCAAATATTATTTCGAATGATTGGTTCTTTTTAAGAATTAAATTTCTAAACGCATTTCATAAAAATATTCTAACATGACTTATAAATTTTCACGTAGTTTAATATAGACCTTCTAAGTCGACTTCTGAGTCCCGCATCAAAAGAAGTTGGACGATATGATAAACAACAGAATAGTGCTGAACTCAAAAAAGGCATAATAAATCCAAAAATGAAAATTTTACTTTCATTCAGGACCAACTTCATTCGTTTTTATCATTTGTATTCGGTTGAAACTTAAAACATTTACAAGAGAATTTATTGTAGCGATCATAATATAAATAAAGAATAGCATTTAAAATAAGCAATTCCAGTAAGTTATTTTAATGCGTTACCATCAAAAAAAAGAATAAGATATCTAGTTGTATTAAAAAGATTAAGGTTACCATTTAAAAATAGGAATAGTTAAGTTTTTGATATTCGAATATCAAAATTAATGATTTTAGCATGTGTGTTAATTAATCCTAGTCTATTCTAAATTAATAATGTTTTTTACTCTGTCTTTTGAATTTTTGCAAACAGTTATACTTTGATATTTTACTAACAAATTGTTAAAAGTAAAAATCATTTCATTATTTAACGCTTAGGCCGCAGGAAGGATAATTTTATTCAATTATCGGAGAAGCTAAAAAAAATAACATTTTGGATGAAATAGATTCAAAATCATGCGAAAAATTTTGAAGATAGGAGCTTCGTCTTTAGCATTGAGATAGATTAAATTCAATAAGAGCAGCAGACAATAAATATATTATACCTAGTACGTACATTCGATACAAAAATCTCGCCTAATTGGATAACTTTTATACTTAAATAATATACAGTATTTCAGAATGTTTCTCCGACATTTCTTTGCTTCATTCTATCTATGTCTAGTAAGAAATGTATTAAAATTATATGTAAAAGATTAGATAAATATAAGCAATCCACTTAATAAATAAATAAAATAAAAATGAAAAGGACATGCGAGGCCATGAAGCGCTTCCAGTTCTCTATATACTGTTTTAATTTACCTAATTAACCTTTGGCGCGATAAAAAAAAGAATTATCCTATAAATATACAAATATCTATCAATTCAAGATTATTTTATATTATGATTTATAAAGTCATAAGGACACTTTCCTGGTACCTCCCATATGAATTATATGAATTTGAACCATTGTTGAGTTAACGGATCCTTTAGATAAATCAAATCACTTTCATTACCTTGCTTTTTAAAGTGAACATGATTTTAATAGCAAACTCCCATATTTTTAGGAACCTAATTTAATGTATAACTTAAAATGTAGAAATCTTAAAATAATTTTATTAATCAGAAGATGATTTTGCTTTGGAAATATTGAAAGTTTATCCAAAGACCACAACACCGAATCGAAACTCTCAAAGATGAACATTCTCAAAAAAATGTTCAAAATTTGATTGATGCAGACGATGCAGACTCGACATAATGATGAGCAAATTCACAAGCATCAATCAAAATTTTAAATATTTAAACCTCTATTTAATCATATTTCTATTATTATTATATTTTTCCAGTTAAATTCAGAAAATCACTTCCCCTTTTTTTTTTAAAAAACATTTCAATGATCTTATACAGTAAAATTAAATTCACCCTAATCAATGAGATTTTTTTTTAGAAAATACTGATGTTTAAAAAAATAAAGTTATAGATGTTATAATTAATATCTAAATTTGATTGACACGGCGGTTGTCATTTTTATTGAATACCAAACTTAGTGAAGTGATAAAGCTCTTTAATTGCTATTGGAAAAAATAAAGATCTGTGAAAATTAATATTTTTCAAGACAATTGTTTAGGTTATGCTTATTATTCAAAAATCAGATTTATTTAAATTCTAAAGTAATCTATGTTTAAAGCAATATACAAAATAATTTGATATAAAGATTTACAATCGGAATTTTTTTAAAAATATTCATTGTTATTTTAATACTAATTTTATTATTTATAAATTTATATATTTAGATAAGAATACATTATAAAGGTGTAAAAGATAACGTAAAGAAACTAATTGATGTATTTATATACAATTCATCTATGAATCTTTAGCTTTCTTTCATTCACTATTTAAACCTTTTACGTTGCTAATTAATATGTACTATAATATATATGAAATAAAGATTCTAATAAATAATTTTATCATTCTAAGATAATTACTAATAGGATAAATTATAATGCTTGCATTACATGATCTCTAATTCAACACCATATTTTATAGGATTTTTTTTTTTTTTTTTTGTAAATCCTATCCTAAAATGGAAATTAATTCGTTCAATTAAATAGAAATAAGCAAATCCGTTAATTGCGATTCAGGAACTAAAATAGAGAAACAAAAGGTTAATAAAATAATTAGGAGTCAAATATAAATTTAATGACGAGATTACCTTCCGAGCCTTCAAATTGAACTCCTGTGGAATTAGTTGGTTTAGGAAGATTATTAAAATTTAATAAACGGCTGGTATAAATTGCTTGTGGATGAATTTTCGTTTCAGAAGATTCTTGTGGATCGATTTCATCCGAATTAAGAAATTCTTTGGCAGTTCCCGATTCTTCTTTACATAGTAGTTGCATGTACCAACCATTAATCACTTTACTTAAATCTTGGGTAGAAGGTCTTTTTTCTGGATCAGCATCAAGACATTTATCAACCAAATCAATAAAACTTTTCGGCGTTCCTTTGGTAACTCTAGGTCTTAAACCATTGCAAATGGCCAAGGCAAGCCTTTCATCATGTGGTACATCTCCATATGGAAGTTTTCCAGTTGATACCTCTACCATGATGATACCAAAACTATAAACATCACTTGCAAAAGAGAATGGTTTTTTATCCAATAATTCCGACGCTATATAAGGAAGGACTCCAAATACATTTGTGGAAGTAGAAGAACTAGAATCATTAATCAGCTGTGAAAGTCCTATATCAGTTATTTTCGGTCCAAAATGGCCGGCTCCTGATAGCAGTATGTTTCCACTATGTAAATTTTTATGAACAAAATTTAATTTGTGAATCTCAGAAAGATCATTTGAGATTTTATTTAGCAATTTTAATTTGCTTTCCCATTTTAAGTTAAAATTTTTTAAATAACTTCTTAGGTTTCCGTATTCAGCATATTCTAAAACCATCATAAAATTTTCAGTTATAGGTTCTTTTGTTATGCCATAAATCTTTAAAAACAGAACATCGGGAGAATCACATTTATGTTGTATTTTTAACTGGATGGAAAACCATGAATTTTTAAAATAAAAATTAATAAATAATATTAATAATTCCTGTAATAAATCATCTTGATAACCTACCTCGCTGATAAAAGCTTCAATTACGTTATTTGAATTTTTAATTTTTTTAAGTGCGACTGTAATGGGAGAGGGTTTCTTTTTGATTGTACCTCTAGGTTTTCCATCCAACCAAGTAGCGGTATAATTGCTCGCAACACCTCCCTCTCCAATAAGTTTGCCGTTGATTAAACTATCAAAAGGTATCCATTCCAAGTTACCCCAATAGTGTTTTGTTTTAAGTTGACTTTCATATATCAAATTATCTATTTCAACATTTCCGCTTTTCTTACCTTCTCTTAAAAATCGTCCTGGATCACATTTATTACACCATGAATAACCGGTATTCATTTGCTTACAATCCGGGCATATTCCATATAGTTTAAATCGTTTTTTCTCATCCTCAGTCAACTCTTCTAATTTCTTATAAAATCCAATTGCTTTACTTTCTTTTAAAAATTGAATTGTATCACAATCACACCAATCACCCTCGCATTTGCATTTGAAACCAAAGTCGTCTTTTATATCTATTTCGCTTTCTCTTATACTGTTTTCATTTGAGTTAATAAGATTTTCTTCATCTATTTGATTACTTAAATTTAATTTGGACTTTATTTGCTTTACGATTTCATTCATGATTAAATGATATGAATATAATAACAAAAATGATTAAAAATAAATTTAGAATTGTTGAATTGTGATTTTTATACCTTAAATTTGAATATGAAAAAATTGTAACATAACATAAATAAATGATTATTTGTTTGGTTGTACTGGTTGTACCACGAAAATCATTCGAACTAGTAAAATGTCTTGCAGGAGGAATAACTCATAAACAAATAAAATAAATAAATTTTTGTCGCAATAATGCATTGCTCGACATACTTGCGTACAAACTCTACCGCATATGATGTAATTAACAAACTTTTATATTATACCCGTACTTTTGAAACAGAAAAAAAAAATTCTTTTTTAAAATCGCGCCCACACAAATTTTCACATTTTTTATTGTTTTGATTATTTTGATTATTTTATTTTACAATGAAAATGTACCCATTCTGACTTGATATCAATATTTTCTCCGTATCTGCACGTAATTTTATTCAAAAAGTTGATTTAAATGGTGCTTGCTTTCGTGAATAATTCTGTCAAGTTTAGCGTTTACTGAACTTTTCGCTTCTTTTTTTGGAATATCAATAATGTTTTGTTGACTTCCAACTATATTTGTGCTTTAAATAACAGCAAATTTTTTTTTTTACTTCATTATTATTAATTTTTATTATTTTACAGGTATTGTTTTATTTTTTGTAAATATGAATCATTATTGCTATAAAATTTAAAAAAAATCTCTGAATTTATGGACCAGGTGTTTCCAAGCGGGTTAAAGTTTGTAAATACTTTCGACAAAGTTCCGCTAAAAAAAAATAAAAAAAATGAATATGATAAAACCTAACCGATTGGAGATTGGTTTTATTGAAATTGTGGTAAGAACCATTTTTTGTTAATTTAGCTATTCTTCGCGCGCATTAAATTTCAAATTTAAATTTATATCTAGTTTTTTTTTTTTTTTTAGAAAGAGAACATCACCACGATCACGACTCTGGACCATCGAAAACGTGCAATCGTTCTCTCAAACCTAATTTATGAATGTTAGCAAAATATTAAACTTTAAAAAAAAATAGCAGAATGTTATATATGGTTGCTGGTATCAATAAATATGTTTATTCTAATAAATGGTATATTTCAAAAGTAAAAAAAAAAATATTACATAAAAAGATTAAATAAATATACAAAAATTTTTAAATTTTTAAAATCCAAATAAGGAAATTATTCTATATGGCAAAACAAACATTTTACTAATCCTTTAATTCAATGAATAGATAATATCTAGCATTTTCTTTATCCTTTTCACATTCCAAAGTATCTACAGCTTTTATATCACCAGAAAACAAGTATTTAACAATTTTACTGATTAAATAATTTTGGATAAAATAAATACTACATTGATTTAATTGTTCGTTTTTCTTTTTGAATTTCCTACAATATTCCAAGAAAAGGTTTAAATTTATCGAAGGGGATTTCGTTGGATCCAATTGCATCCCATTAAAAAACTCTTCATATAATTGTGTAGTTTTTTGTTTATTTAAACAGACCGTATATAGATGCGGATTTTTCTCACAAGCGTGTTGATAATCACATTGATTTTTTAAATCTTGAAATGAAGATACTGCAAGAACGAAATCCAAATATTTTTCCATCAAAGCACACCTTGTATCGCTTGAAAGTTTTTTGAAATCTTGTTCCTTCTTATATTCCAATAAATTATCCAATATTAATTTTGATGTTTCCTTATAAATATATTTAAATCTATATCTGTCAGCCAATACCAATGAAATGAGTGGTTTTTCTTGAAAGTGAGCTTTCAAAAAATTATCGGCCGCTTCAATAACCATAACGAATTCATATTTATCAGCTAATTGACAAAATTCTATAATGTTTTCCCATGTAATAGGTGTAAATGTGTGTGGGTATAAATACGATAATAAGTTTTCAAACGTTGTTGATGACGTATCGGTTAAAGTTATACTTGGTATGTCTTCTTTGGAGGATATAGCGCAAGTGAACATATCACAAAATACTTTTGAGGCTATGGATAAAATGTTTTTATGTATTCTAAATGTCACATCTTGCACCGTTACTAGAATATCACCATCATCATAATAATGTAATGAACTATTCGAATTGCTTTGCGTCATATTTTTTTTTTTTTTTTTTTGGTACAATGTAAGAGGATGAATGTTTGAAAAGAAAAAAAAAGTTGAAGGTACAAATTTTTTTTTTTTAAGTTTTATAGTTTTTAACAAAGTTGCACATCAAATTATTAATATTATTAATAACAATTGCATATGTCTTGTGTTTCAAAAATAATCTGCATCGCATGCTCACATTAGCCGCAAATTGGTGCTAACCATCCTTCTTAATTCTGGGCTGTATTAATTATTTGATTGTCGCATAGAAATTAATTCCTATTTTTATCCGAAATTGATATTGGTAAAGTACAAAATTTTTTGTTCTAGTGCTTATTGACGAAGGTTATTTGATCCCGTTGCATTGGTATGAAAGTTGATTGGATACGTAAAAATATTAAGGGGTACTGATCGAAGGTTATGTAACGTCTCTATTTTTATTTTTTTTTTCCATAATTGTAATACTGCGTCTTTTATTTTTTATTTTTTGGCAGGTCGGCAATGTATAAATCCGGCAATCAAAACGATGATCAGTAAACCTTTAAGTTTCAAAAAAAAAATTGCCAAATCAGGTAAACTAAAACAACTAAAACGCACGAATAAAGCGATGGCTAAATTAACTTCTAAATACCCAAGAAATAAAATCTTTTTTTAATACATTTATTATGACTCATAATAATGAAACAATTAAACCTTTATTCGATTATAAAGGTTTGATTCAAACTATTACGTGTTCTGCCCTTTTTTTGATCAATTTATTTATTTATGAAAATAAAAATCCTGGGCCAAAGATTAACCCGTGTAGAATATTCCAAATGTTTATATCAGATGTTGAAAATATTTTTTTTTCCTTATTCTTATCCTCCCCTCCTTACGCCTTCAATTAACATTCTAATCAAATATCAAACTACAAGGATTTGATTTCTTTCGACATTTAGAACCAAGTATTAGAATTAGAGGGAGCGTTTCCAGTAAAATCACATTAGGGGTCATATGATTTACTATGCCTCATGACTTGATTTTACTGGAAACGTTCCCATATTATAAAGAAATAGGTTAGAGAAGGTAACTTCATTTAAATAACATCTATCACATATATTGCACTTGACAATTTTAAAAGAGTTGTCTAAAAAAAATCCAAGCGTTCTGAAAATATTTTTAAATGATTGTTATTTTACTTTTGCTTTAAAATGAATTGGTTAAATTTTTAATTTTGATCAATTTACTTGAGGAAATATATAAAAATTTATATACATACATATATGGGAGCTGTGCTATTAAAAATGGGTTACGGGAACAGATTTTGATTCATATTATTAAATGAACTTTATTTGGTTAGATTTTTAGTGCTTGTTTTAATAGCAAAATCTCAGGTGTTACGAAATTGATTGTAACAATATTTTTAATTGCTGATCCACATGTAACCGGTAGAACTCCTATAATAAAATGTGATGCAATTTTCTTATGTAACTAAGTTGATCATCGTTTTGTATTACAAAAAATTATAAATTATTTATTATACAATTATATAATTTGCAATAATAATTGTACATCAAGGATCTTAAAAAAGAAAACTTGTTAAAAAAAACTGTTTATTATATTTGTAGTTTATAAAGTTTTATATGAAGTAAAGGAAGATTTCATAATAGTTTTATTGATATGATATGCTAATTGCTATTTTGAAAAAACATATCACAAAAGTTTTTAACCTTTTTTTGACGTTTATTAGGCTGTCTTTGACTAATACTACCTTCAGTAATTGTTGTGCTTTAATTATTTTCAATATTTTTCACCAGTACCTTTTCTGATGCTTCCTTTTGAAATTAACACTATATCTTCTTATTCATCCTTAGATAGTTTTTACTAGGGTTCCGCAATTCGATTTGATATTTGAATATTTGATTTGAAAATCAAATCAAATAAATACAAATTCAAATTTATATTTGATTTGATTTGATCAAATCCAAATCAATGTTTGATTCGATTCGATCAAATTCAAATCAAGTATTCAAATATTTGATTTGATTC